GTTGTAAAAAAAGACAAGCCTCCTCGAATACTGTGGTCCAGAGAAATGACTGCCTCTTTAAATGCATTAAAGGGAGTGCTGACCTCCCCCACTCAAAGGTGCTGCCTGTGGGAATGCCGGCCTGTCTGAGAGGGGTAGCAGCTTGCGCTATCATGATAAGGGACTGCGAGAAGCTTACACTCTCACATGACACTATTCTACACACCAATCACCAGGTCACGACCATTGTAGCGGACATAACCACACAACATATGCAAATCTCACTATAAAAGCGAGCAGCACACATGATTCGCCAGGACATTTATTGATCCATATGCTGTGTTCTTCTGACCGACGGGATGGCTCAGACAGGCTTGACGATCATGACTGCATGACATGTATAAAGGAATCCAAAGGAATCACGTCCAGATTTAGAGCTCATTTACATTTAGAGGCCAACAATGGCGTTACACTCGCCTAACACAGGAACTCGATTTTGCACCATCCAAAACCTGTAAATGTAAAAGACATGTTGTGATTTTTGGGTCTGACTGGTTACAGCAGGACCTATGTCCCAGACTATGTTGCCCTTACCTCCCCTCTGCGCGTTTTGGTAAATGAACAAGGCATGAGAAACCTATCTGCTCCCCTATCATGGACTACAGAAGCAGAACAGGCGTTTATACAGTTAAAACAACAGCTTTCTGTCGCCTCTGACCTTGCTGTGCCAGATTACGCCTTGCCTTTTCATCTTGATGTTTCTGGAACTGGAACCCATGTCAATGGTATCCTGTTCCAGAAAAAAGGGGGAGAGAGAAAAGTGTAGACATATGTAAGTGCAATGAAGAAAGTGAGAAGAAAGGAGAGCGGCAAAGCAGAGAAATGAAGGATGACGATGAGAAGAGGGCGAGTGGAAAAAGCTGGGTGTTGGAGCTAAGCTATAAAACCAGGAGGGGGGGAAACAGAGTGATAGGAAGGGAGGAGTGAGGCAAGGCTGCAGAAGAGGTGTGAAGACTCATCTTTTTCTGGATGGGTGTGAGTTAAGGCCGGAGCAGAGAGAGGCCTGGGAGCACAGCATAGCCTAGTGGTAATAAACCAGGAAACCCCAGTAGAGAAACAGACAACATCAGCTATAAGGAAGCTATAAAGTGTTTTTAAAATCAAAATATAGTCTTCAGTCTGAGCTTGATATCTTTAAAGTTGATTGCTAGCTAGTTTACTCTTATAGGGAAATCGGTTAAAAGGGACCGTTTCAGAAATTTTAGAAGTCATGTTTGTTTTTGTACATGTTATGAGATATTTAATTCATAAAATACACATATCAAGGGAAATTCCAGTCCCCTTGACATATTTTGTTTTAAATTGTATAAAACAGTATTGTGTCCATAGCATAAAATGTAGCGTACGGTAAAGGAAACAGTTGGGTAATCAATTGAATCTAAATAGGTTTCAGTATTGAACAGCATTACAGCAAATATACAGATGTTTTTCTCGGGCTTTGCAGCCAAAAAAAGAAAAATCTTTTCTTGCACAGCCGTTCCTCCAGATGACATTCCATTTTGTCCAGGAAAAGAAATAATCATTGATTACACAGACATGGTGGACAGAGTAGGTAGTTACAGGTACCTGCTGGTGGCTGTGGATGCATTTTCAGGTTGGCCAGAAGCCTGGCCGACAGCAAGTGAAAACAGTGGAACTGTGGTGAAGTGTCTGATTAATCATTATATACCACAGCATGGGTTTCCCGAGGTCATAAGGCCGGACAACGGTTCACATTTCAGGAACCACGATCTGCAGAAGGTTGAAGCCGCATTAGGTTTGAAACATAAGTTTGGCTCAGTTTACCACCCCCAATCCCAGGGGAAAGTGGAAAGGATGAATCAAACTCTAAAAACTAAATTGGCTAAAATCTGTGCACAGACCAAATTAGATTGGGTTAAGGCATTGCCTCTTGCATTAATGTCCATAAGATGCTCAGTAAATCAAACCTCTGGTTACACTCCATTTGAGTTGGAGCATGGCAGGCCTTTTCCTGGCCCCTCCTCTCGCCTGTTAATGTCGGATGAAGCTGATTCGGACCTCGATCCAAGGACATATTATAACATGCTCCGCAGTTTTGTTGCCCAGTATTCCTCACAGGTCGCTGAAAGAAACCAGCAAGAGCCGAAGGAGGCGGCTGCACCTGGAACCACACCACCCCCCCTGCCCCACCAACCACCAACCCCTCCAACCACCAACACCCCCCAAAAAAAAACCCAACCCCCCACCCAAACACCAACACCACCCCCCCACCTAAAACCCCACACCAACCAACCCCAACACCGACCGGCGCACCCCCCAACCCCAACCCCCAACACTCCAACCCAACACACCCAAACAAACACCCACCAACCAACCCCACACCCACCAGGCCACACCAAAAAACCCACCCCACCATCCCTCCACCCACCCCCCACCCACCCCCCCCCCCACCCCTCAACCCACGACCAACCCCGCACCCAGTATTCCTCACAGGTCGCTGAAAGAAACCAGCAAGAGCCGAAGGAGGCGGCTGCACCTGGAGTAGACTACGTCCTCCTGAAAGTCACAAAGAGAAAGTGGGCTGAGCCTCGCTGGACAGGCCCTTACCGCATAACAGAGCGGACCTCCCACGCTGTCAGGCTCGAAGGGAAAGGTGACACCTGGTTTCATTACACACAGTGCGCTGCTGCCACCGAACCAGGAAGAACCTTGAGAGAGGTGCAGAAGGACCTGTCAGAAGGAGCTGCAACAGCATCACCAACCACTTGAGGGAGCCAACGCTCAACCTACAAGCCGGCTGGTTACAAAAGGGGGTGTTCTTCATACTGAACTAAACATTTTTATTTTTCTATTTTTAACATCTTTTATGATTTTGCTTTTATATTGGCTTGAGTTGTTAAGATTTACATTTTACATTGCAATAGTTTTAATCGCTGAAAGCTCATTTAAAGTTGTGTCACTGATACTTTTTGTTGCTCTTTAACTCCTAGAACACGCCCTTGGCGAGGTGGGGGGAACTGGACCACGTTTCTGTGCCCCATCATCTTCTATTAGAAGACTTACAAGCTAAGTAAACATGTCTTGGCCCTTTCCCCCTGAAATGACAGGCAGGCAAAGATGTTCTGTTGTATTCCATGCATTCGATCCCTCTTCCAGAGACTGATTGTTACAGCTCTCACTCCGGAGGATAAGGATCTCGCCCTGCAGATGCCTTTATTGGCTAGTCAACTTCCCACCTCCTCGCCAACGGATGATGAAGACTCTGATCGTGATGATGACGAACATTATCGTCTTTCTCTTGTTTAAATGCTTCTAGAATGGTTGTTTCTCTGTGGTGTTTTGTATTATGCTTGTTATCAATTGTTTCCCTCACCCACTTCCTCTTGAAGGATATATCTGGTTGAACTGTGTCTGGTCGGGTTGTGAGGGTTAAGCGATGTTCTCAGGGTCTCCGGACTTAAGCCTGAGCAAATGTGTACTCCGACCACTGGATATAAATTGCTTTTTTCCACACCCCTTCCTCACGTTTTACCATATTTACTTTTTGAATGTCCTTAGCAGTTACCGTTCTGGGTTTATTTTACTGTTGATTTATTCTTTCACATTTTTACGTTTATATCTCTCATTATTATAGTATACTCTGTACTCTCCACATTTTTATCATTACTTATGCTTTTTGGTTGCTGTGTTACATGAACTGTTAATTTTGTGTCACTACCCTGGTTGCACTGACTCGTTGTATCCTTGTGTGCAGGACAGCTGTTACTGCTTTCGTCTGGAACCGAGACTGCTTGCAGCCGACCCCTGGGCAGGGTGGTGCCTGGACTCTTTTCTCCTCATCTGCAATGACAGATAAAGACAAATGATAAGACCCGAGGAGTTTTTCGAGCCAGGCTTGACACGTCTCTGTGTTCCTTTGAATGTTACTTATTTTTGTGTGTTGACCCATTTTAAGATGGGTCAAAAGGGGGATTCTGAAGAAAATATAATCTGATTAAACATTATTCAGCTTTAAACATTGTTCAGCTTTAAAGTTACTGTGCAACTGTGTAATAAAAATGTGCTCACGACTTTGGCCTTGAGAGCGATAAGAAGCGATCGCCTCATCCTGCAGGTGCAAGATATCTGCAAGCGAAGAGGCTAGAACACCCAAGGCCGATTTCCTTTTATGGAGTTGTTTTTCTGCTAGTGCAGCACTTCTTCCTGTAGTTTTGGACAATATATATATCCACTCTCACAGCAAATCTTTGGAATCTCCTGATGTGAGCTGTGTTGAGAGGTTGTCTCTGTCTCAATAAAAGTTCACTGATTCCCCATCTGCAGCAGGTGTCCGGTTGTCTTCATTCTCCGCCAGCCTGGTTAAGTCAATTCCTCCTTAACATCTAAAAGAACCTATTTAATGAAGGAAGACGGGTTCACTTTGTGTTTAATATTATTCTATTGCTTGTTGTTGTTTTTTTTATATCCTTCAATGAGCACGAAAGACAGCCAGCCATCCATCCATCCATCTTCATCCGCTTTATCCGAGGCCGGGTCGCGGGGGCAGCAGCCTAAGCAAGAGGCCCAGACCTCCCTCTCCCCAGCCACCTCCTCCAGCTTATCCGGGGGAATACCAAGGCGTTCCCAGGCCAGCCGAGAGATATAATCTCTCCAGCGTGTCCTGGGTCTGCCCCGGGGCCTCCTCCCGGTGGGACATGCCTGGAACACCTCACCCAGGAGGCGCCCAGGGGGCATCCTTGTCAGATGCCCGAACCACCTCAGCTGGCTCCTTTCGATGTGGAGCAGCAGCTGCTCTACTCTGAGCCCCTCCCGGATGGCCGAACTTCTCACCCTATCTCTAAGGGAGAGGCCAGCCACCCTTCGGAGGAAGCTCATTTCTGCCGCTTGTATCCGCGATCTCGTTCTTTCGGTCACTACCCACAGCTCGTGGCCATAGGTGAGGGTAGGGACGTAGATCGACCGGTAAATTGAGAGCTTCGCTTTTACACTCAGCTCCCTCTTCACCACGAGGACCGGTGCAGCGTCCGCATTACTGCAGCTGCAGCCCCAATCCGTCTGTCGATCTCCGGCTCCCTTCTCCCATCACTCCGAACAAGACCCCGAGATACTTGAACTCCTCCACTTGGGGCAGGAACTCATCCCCGACCCGGAGTGGGCACTCCACCCTTTTCCGGCTGAGAACCATGGCCTCAGATTTGGAGGTGCTGATCCTCATTCCCGCTGCTTCACACTCGGCTGCGAACCGTTCCAGTGCGAGCTGGAGGCCCTCACCCGATGAAGCCAACAGAACCACATCATGATCCCCTGTAGTTGGAACACACCCTCCGGTCCCCCTTCTTAAAGATGGGGACCACCACCCCGGTCTGCCAGTCCACAGGTACTGCCCCTGATCTCCACGCAACATTGCAGAGGCGTGTCAACCAGGACAGCCCTACAACGTCCAGAGCCTTCGAACGGGCGGACCTCATCAACACCAGGGGCTCTGCCACCAAGGAGTTGTTTAACTGCCTCAGTGACCTCGCCCCCGGAAATTGGCGGGTCATTCCCCTCATCCCCAGACTCTGCTTCCTCCTCGGAAGACGTGTCAGTGGGATTAAGGAGGTCCTCGAAGTATTCCTTCCACCGCCTGACAATTTTCTCAGTCGACGTCAGCAGCGCTCCGCCAGCACTATACACAGTGCAGGTAGAGCACCGCTTTCCCCTCCTGAGACGCCCGGATAAAGCGGATGAAGATGGATGGATGGATGGATGCTTTTTATCTTTTCTCTGTCAAGATGATCCAACTAAGCTTACAAAAAATGTTGAAGTTCAGCTCCGGAGAGGCAGATCCATGGTTAGTGTTTCACTGTATGTTATTCAATCCATGTATGAATTTCCTGCATTGGTAATGTGTTTGGGGTCATTGTAATGCTGAAAATTGAAACTGTTGCCAATCAGATGGTTTCCACATAGTATTACAAGTTGGATCAAAATCTGACTCGCTGGGAGTGAGACATGTAATTTGCAAATATCCTGATAAATTGGCTCTAAGTGTGAATGGTTCTCTCTATGTGTTAACCCTACACTGGTGACCTATGCACTGCACCTCGTACTCTTTGACAGCTCGAATTGGCTCCAATTCATTGTTTTAGTAGTTTGTATTACTTTGTAGAGATTGTAATGCATAGGGCAGGCTTTACCTCTGCATTCTGGTGTTACGACCCGGCTCTGCTAGGCGACAGGGGATGTAACATAAATGAGCCCAGAGACAGGAGGGTTAGATAAAAAGAAAAATATAAGGTTTATTAACACAACTGAAAACCGTTAGTGAAACAACTCACTAGGCAATAGGGTGATTTGATATATTCAAATAACACCAGCAGAACACTAAACATCTCACAGGCAGTTACTCAAGGCAAAGGCAGGAGGGACAGTCTGTTCGCATCAACAAGTCCCCCACGAATGAAGACTCCTCAGCCTTTTATGCTTCCCGGTAAATGCAGGCAGCCGCGTCATTGGTCCGTCGTGTTCAAGGGTCCTGCAGCAGCCAATGGTGTGTGTGGTCTGGCACTTTCTGATCTACATGAAGTTGGGAGGGCATAGGTCACTGGCCAGCCAATCACCCGTGAGTCCTGGAACCAATGTTCCCTCTAATGCCGGGCTCACACTGTGCGATTTTTTCAGTCGCGCAATTCAGCTCCTGCTCAAACTGTACGATTGACTCGCAGGGGTTAGAAGTTCGTAGGTCACGATGCAGGGTCTCACACTATACGGCCCGATGCTCTGATGCGACCTGAGTGCTCACACTGTGCGTCTATAAAATGAAGGTTATAACAGAAATTCTGTCACTCACTCTCCCTCTCTGTCTTTCACTTAAACAGACACGCACACCACCACCATCAACTTTGCTAAATTGCTAATGAAAAACATTGATCAGGCAGCTGTGATTGAGCAGCAATGTCTATCCAACTATTTTCACGGTTGTTGTGGTCATGATAATTTTGTGAGGCCACATCGAAAAGACTCGGATGAGCTTTCCAAAGTTCTACAAGTGCCTCCATCGCTTGTGTCCAGATCACACG